GCAGGCTCCTGCCCCCCCTTTGCCCTGTCCCAACCCAGTGCTTGGAGGGCTGAGGGGAGCAGCAGACAGGGGTGAGCGGGAGGGGGTTTATTAACTCTTTTCCTGCTGTTTCCTTGCTCACCTTTCTGGACTTGTTGCTGGTCCAGCTGAGAAGGGGGGCACAGGGCTGGTGCTGGAGCGGTGGGGAAGCCCGCTGGGGTAGCACTGCCTCTGTGGTGCAGATGGGTCCCCCACTGAGCACTGAAACATTGGGGTTCAGGCGGGGGTTCTGGTGGCTGGAGGAAGAGCCAGGCCAGGGTGAGAGCAAAGGAGGAGGAGATGCAGCCAGCGAGCACCTGGAGGGCCTGGGGAGAGAGGTGTGTGGCTGCTGGTGGTGCAGCTGGAGGAGAAGCTCCAGGCTCAGCTGGCTCCACAGCTCTGTTGTGCCCTTCTGCTGGCCTCCTCCACATGGGGTGCCAGGCACAGGCAGCCGTCCTGCCCGGGCAGGGGAAGGGCATGGCTGTGCCCAGCGCTGAGGCCGTGTCGCCTTGCAGCCGGAGGTGTCGTGGATCCCCAACAAGCACTACTCCGGCATCTATGGGCTGATGAAGCTGACGCTTACCAAGGCACTGCCCTCCAACCTCTCCAAGGTCATTGTCTTGGACACTGACATCACCTTCGCCACCGACATCGCTGAGCTCTGGGCTGTCTTTGGGAAGTTTTCTGGTGAGGACAGGGTGCCCTGGGGACCCGCTGGGTACTGGGCTCGGGGTGGCAGTCCCCGTCTGCCACAGCACCAGCACAGTGGGTTTGCTGGGGCCCTCTGAGCCTACAGCAAGATGGGCTGCATCCATGTCCTCTGTTCCCTCAGACAAGCAGGTGATTGGGCTGGTGGAGAACCAAAGTGACTGGTATTTGGGCAACCTGTGGAAAAACCACAAGCCGTGGCCGGCCCTGGGACGTGGCTTCAACACGGGTGAGTGTGGGCTGCCAGGGTGGGCCCTGCAGCCCGATGGTGCATCCAGCTGAGGCGGCACTTGGCACGGGGAGGCTGGGGAGGGCTGAAGTGAGGCAGGAGAGTCTGGTGGGCACGAGGGGGCTGCTACAGCGTCCCGTGGTCATGTGGGCGGGTGCAGAGAAATGTGTCCCAGGAGCCGAAGGTATGCAGGCTGCTATGCTCCGTCTCTGTAATGGCTGGGGGGCCCCCTCCCGACCCCACCTTTTTCCCGGGGGTGACCCGGCTCCCCCTCGACCGCCTGCGTCGCCTGGGCTGGGAGCAGATGTGGCGGCTGACGGCGGAGCGGGAGCTCATGAGCATGCACTCCACCTCTCTGGCTGATCAGGTAATGGTCCCTCCTCTGGGGTGGCCAGCCCTGCTGCGTTCCTGTAGCGTTGCTGGCACGGCAGGGCCATGCTGTCTTCCTCATCCACCTGTGCACTCACCTTTCTCTCTCTTAGGACATCTTTAACGCGGTGATCAAGCAGGACCCGGCCCTGGTGTACCGTCTCCCCTGTTTCTGGAACGTGCAGCTCTCTGATCACACCCGCTCGGAGCAGTGCTACACCGAGGTCTCGGATCTCAAGGTGGGTGGGTTTGCTGCCTTTGAGACTGGGAAGGACAGCAGTGCGTGCTGGAGGTCCATGGGAGTCAGCATGGGGTCTGGGGGCTTGGGGAGCACTGCATGCTGCTGACTTCCCCTCTGCGAGGTGACACACCACTGCCCTCAGGTGATCCACTGGAACTCACCCAAGAAGCTGCGGGTGAAGAACAAGCACGTGGAGTTCTTCCGCAACCTCTACCTGACCTTCCTGGAGTACGACGGGAACCTGCTGCGCAGGGAGCTCTTTGGCTGTCCCAGTCTCCCCAGCCCACCCAGCGACCAGGTGAGGGTGATTGTGACTCTACCCCCAACCCCAGAGCGTTGGGGGTGGGCAGAGACCCCACACAGCCGCCCCAGCTCCCCGTTGGGGCTCCTGCTCTCCCTCACCTTCACGGCATTGCAGCTGCAGCAGGCACTGGAGGAGTTGGACGAGGACGATCCCTGCTACGATTTCCGCCGGCAGCACCTCACGCAGCACCGCGTCCACCTGTTCTTCCTGCAGTACGAGTTCCTGGCCCTTCCCAACCCCACCGATGTCACCCTTGTGGCCCAGCTCTCCATGGACAGGTACTTGCTGGTGGGGCTGGCGGGAGGTTGGATCTCGCCTCTGCTCCTCTGGGGTGGCTCCACAGCTTGGGAGCTACCAGGGTTCTCAAAACACGGGTTCCTCACCCTTGCTTACAGTGAGGAGCAACACCCCAAGCTGGGAGCAGCAATTCCTCCTGCTCCCCCCTGGACTGGGCTTGGCTGGCACGTGGCTTGCTGGCAAGCACCCAATTCTGGGTTTGGCCAAGCTGCCACGGGGCAGGTCTCCTGCTGATGCAGTGCCCTCTGCTTCACAGGTTACAGATGTTGGAGGCCATCTGCAAACACTGGGCAGGCCCCATCAGCCTGGCGCTGTACATGTCGGACGCGGAGGCTCAGCAGTTCCTGCGCTATGCCCAGGCCTCGGAGGTGCTGAGCACCCGCCGCAATGTCGCCTACCACATCGTCTACAAGGAGGGGCAGTTCTACCCCATCAACCTCCTGCGTAACGTGGCCTTGGCCAACACGCAGACGCCATATGTCTTTCTGACGGACATTGACTTCCTGCCTATGTATGGCCTCTACGATTACCTCAGGTAAGGCTTTCTCCAGCCAGCTCTTGCTCAGCCTGCCGGGCTCCCCAAGTACTGGGGTTTGCAGGCAATGCCCCGTGTCTCAAAGTGTGGAAACTGTTTCCTTTGTGTTCAGCCTTGGGATCCCGCCCTTGCTTTTGTCAGACACCAGTGGGTGAGGAAGCAGCCATGGCTGTGAGGGCTGCCCCATTCCTCCTGCCCCACATGGCACCACTACAAAGTGTCTAAACCCATTAATACCCTCCTGGGCTGGCTGGAGGAGCTGAGGAAGGAGGCTGTGGCCACGGCTCACAGCCAGGGAGACCTCACACCCTTCCTACCACCATAGGAACTCCATCCAGCAGCTGGAGCTGCCCCAGAGGAAGGCAGCTCTCATCGTGCCGGCATTTGAGACCCTGCACTACCGCTTGACCTTCCCCAAATCCAAAGCAGAGCTGCTCTCCATGCTGGACATGGGCTCCCTCTACACCTTCAGGTAGGGACCGGAGCTGCCCCACCATCCAAGGGGGCTGTCACATGCAGCAGAAGCCAGTTTTGTACCCTTGTGCCTTGTGGCTGTGGGGCAGCCAGCTCAGAGGACCCCCTGCGTCCTCTGCCTGTCTTGGGGAGCTGCCAGTTTTGCCTGGTCTCTGACTTCCATCTGTCCCCCCGCAGGTACCACGTATGGCCAAAAGGCCATGCCCCAACTGACTACGCCAAGTGGCGGACGGCCACCGTGCCGTACCGCGTGGCGTGGCAGCCAGACTTCGAGCCTTACGTTGTAGTGAGGCGAGACTGCCCCAAGTACGACCAGAGGTTCGTGGGCTTCGGCTGGAACAAGGTGTCCCACATCATGGAGCTGGATGCGCAGGTGGGTGAGGGGCTGCTCCCGGCACCAAGGAGGCGCTGGGTGTTGGGGGGCCTTGGCCGGGCAGTGACGTGTTGGTACCACCAAGCCACTGCTGACAGTAAGCGCTGCTGCTCTGCCCCCAGGAGTATGAGCTGCTGGTCCTGCCCAATGCCTTCATGATCCACATGCCCCATGCCCCCAGCTTCGACATTTCTAAGTTTCGCCTGAGCGCGGGGTACCGGGGCTGCCTCCAGACGCTGCGGGAGGAGTTCCACCAGGACCTGTCGCGGCGGTACGGGGCTGCCGCGCTCAAATACCTCACCGCCGAGAGGAGCCTGTGATGCCTGGGGACAGTGGGTGCGGGGTGCTAGCAGCACATTGGAGAGGGGGGGCGCAGGGCTTCCCTCCTGCCCTGGCCCACCACTGCAGCCTGGCCCGAGGGAACCGAGCCGGCAGCACGGCCTCTCCAGCCCAGCAAAGGGATGCCCATAGATGAGATGGAAGATGCCAGCTGTGAGAACAGGCAGTGCCTGCAGGGCAAGCTGCTGCAGCGTGGCCAAGGGTTTTTTCAGGGCAGCAGCCTTCCTATGTTACGGGGGAACCTCCCTGTGCCAGGGGCCAGGGGAACGGGTCTCCTCCCTCCCCTGTTTTAGCAGATGTGGATTCTCAGCCTTCGTTAGCTCACTTCAGCCTGGGGCCTGGCTCCTCAAGAAGCCTGGGAGCTGTACCTTACCCTGCTCTGCCTCTGCTTTGTGGTCCCAAGTCCCAGCCCCCGCACACCCCGCCGGGGCTTTGGTGAGTGGGAGATAAGGATGCAGAGCATCCTTTTGCATCCTTGGTGTAGCAGGCTCAGAGAAAGCCTCCCAGAGCCGTGGGTGTGTACCAGGAGTAGTGGAGACCTGGTTCAAGCCCGGACCAAGGCTGGCTGGTTAATGGGGCGAACTATTATTACTACCCATCCGTATGGATGCAGAGTCCCCCGTGGGGTTGGCCCAGCACTGGTGCTGCGGGAGCCGCCCAGGGCAGGGTGGGCTGTCTGCCTTCCCCAGCAGTGAGCGCCCAGAACGGGCCTGCACCTCCTGGCTGGAAGCAGCAATGCTGGAGACACCCCATCACCCCGTCCTGGGCCTGGCAGTGCCCCGCAGGGGCAGCACATGCTTGGAGACATTCCTGACAGGGGACCACCACGCTCCTCCCCAGCCCTTGGCAGCGCAGACCTTGCCCTCGACAGTCAGGGATGTGGTTGACACTGGACAAGACCGTAGCTGAGCACTGTGGCGGGATCCCCGTGCCGGGAGCAGCTTGGCCGGGCACTGTTCCACCGCTATCACACACTGGAGCACAGAGGATGCATTGCTTTCCTCACGCTATTTAAATTATTTAATACTTTTCTCATAAGAATTAAATGATTAGGGTGTCTTGGGGGTTTTTTGGTTTGTTTATTTTTTTTTTTATCCTTTCTTCCTCCTGGATGATTTTGCTGGTGGCCCTGGAGGCTCTCCAGGCCAGTTGCTGCTGCAGTCTCTGCTGTTCTCTCCTTAGCGTGACTCTGGGCTGTAAGAGCCAGCTCTGTGCAGGTGTAGGATTTCCGTCCACGGTGGGAGCCATGCAAAGCGCGGGATATGGAAAGGGCACAACCGCCTCTTGCTTATTCTCTCTTTTTAATTTAATTTTTAAATTAAAGCTTTTTTATTCTTTTTCACATCCTTGTTAGAACTGCCTGGTTATTAATTTTTTTTTTTTCCTGCTGCGAGCCTGCCGCGTGTCCCCTGGAGGGAAGGCAGCAGGAGGAGAGCAATGTGGGGGTAGCCTGAGCCTCGGCTGAGGAAAAGCATCGCTGGGCTTGCTCTGCCTGGCACGTTTGAAGCCTTTTTTCCTTTCTGGCTGGCACAGTGGGAGGGTTGGGAGCAACAGCAGGCAACAGAAATGCCCACTGTCACCAACTGGCAGACGCGCCGGTCCCCTGCCAGCTCCGAAACGGCTGGCGGTTGCTGACTGCGGTGGGATCGGGCTCACTGGTTCCCGGTGCTGCATTGGGGTCGGCAGCCCGGGTGGCAGCACAGCCTGCCTGCACAGCCAGCGCCCTTTAAAGGGAGCCTGGGGCATCGTGGCTGAGGCAGGCCGTCCATTTAATCACGGCCAAGTAGGAGAGGTGGGGTTTCTTCTTCTGGCAGTGCTGCGGCTCATCCCCAAGACCAGCGTGTTGAGCTGGCCATGCGCCGTGACCGGCAGGACCTTCCCCTCATCCGACGAGGACAGGCGCCCAGCTCTGGCCACAACACCGGCAGTGGGACCAACTGGGGCACTCCCAGGAGTGTGTTGTTGAGGCTTTATTTGGGAAAGGGCTGGAAAGACATTGCTGATGACCATGAAGCCGGGCACAGCTCCACCCGGCCGGGCCCTAGCAGACAGCTTTTGCTTAATACAGCCAAAGCTCGCCAATACCGCTCTGCTTCTGCACTAAGCGACAGCACAGGTTTAGGTCAGCTCTAGACAGTAGCTTAGGCTGCTCTCTGCTAGAGACACAGTGGTGGAGCGGTGCTGGGATGGAGCAGGCCTCTTCTGGGCAGTTCTTTGATGGTTAGGTGGCTACTTCGGAAGGTGTACTGCTTTGCCTATGGCAGGAGGCCCATGTGCCATCGTTTTCAGATAATCCTTCCCAGCCTAGCCAGTCCTTAGCCCAAAACTGCCTACAAGGATTTAGGTACCTGGAGTAAACTGAGCTCGGTTTTGGTCTCCATGTGCCCTCTGCCGGGCAGCATCAGCTGGAGGCAACCACTGAGTCAAAGCCCGTGGAGATTTTTCCTAACCCAGCACAGCCCCTTTTAGAGCTAAAATTCATGTCTAACAGCGCAGCGCCCTTCTCCCTGCCCAGAAAGCAAGCTTCGAGCCAGAGGGTGCCACAGCCATCGCGCAGAGCCACGCTTGGGAGCCCCACCGCACCATCCCCTGGGCCTGTGGGACTCACTGTCCCCGCCTGGTACATACAGCTGAGGAGACAAGAGATTTTATTGTGTTTTATTTAGTAAAATGTTAAAATAAATAAATACAAATTGATCAGATGCTCTGTACCCCCTCCCCCCCCCACTTTAATTTGCTAAAATCTAAACACATTTGTACCAAAACTGAAACCACAAGGGACTTGAAGGCAGCAAAGAGACTGCAGATCACTATGAGCATCAGGCTAAAAAAAATAGAGCTATTTAAAAAAAACCCAAACCAGCTCATGAGTTGGTGTTCTCATGATGTGATTTTGTGACAACAGAGCGGTACCGGTCAGAAAGGGCATTTTACAGCAGGGCCTGCAAGGGGGGGGAGACTGGGGGGGAG